TTAAAAGGACACTGCTTGTCATTGTAGCATCAACAAGACGAAGAAGGGACACTGCTGTGATTTGGAGGCCAGCCTGGCCAGCATAGTGTAGCAGGCTTTCTTTAGGGCCACCAACCAGCTGACAAATCATGACATGAGACTTAATAATAGTTACGAATGCTCAGCCTTATCTTATGCTTCTCCCACTAGCTCTTATAACTTAACACAACCTGTTTTTATTCATGTACATTTTGTCTTGGAGCTTTTTACCTTTCATTCTGTATGTCCTACTCTGTGTCTGACTGTCTATCTGGCCCTGGGCACCTCTCTCTCTTTCTCCCTTGTTCTGACTACTGGCCATTCAGCTTTTTATTAGATTAATCAGGTGCCTTAGGCAGGCAAGCTAAAACAGCAACACATCCATAAATAATTACACAAATACAGCATAAACAAATGTAACACATCTTTGCAGTTAAAGTCATATTCTACAACAGCATAGTAAGTATTAGACCAGCTAGGGGGTGGTGGCAAGACTCTGTCTCAAACAAAAAGTAAATAAAATTGTAAAAAAGGTTACCAGTTACATTTTGATTTAGGTAATGTTAGTGGAGTCACTAGGAGAGTTTCCCTAGTATCCATCATAGTAAGTTGTAGGGAGAGGAAACTTGTTCTGTGGACTGGAGAGGGTTCAGCAGTTAAAACCATTGGCTGCTGTTACGGAGAACACTACTTGGGTCCCCATCACCCACATGGTTGGTCGCTCACAACTGTCTGTATCCAGTTGTAGGGGATATGACACCCTCTTCTGGCCTGCAAAGGCATCAGACATGCATGTGGTGTGTACACATACATCCAGGCAAAAACACTCATGCACATTTAAAAAGCAACCAAAGAAGGAGGAAAGGGACAGGGAGAGGGGCAGAGGGAGACAAGGAGGGGGTGGGGCTTGTTCCTGAAGACATAGGGTGCTATCGTCCTGGGCCTGAGCTACTTCACTCAGTACATCATTGTCCAGTTATCTTTATCTTTGTTTATTCACAAATATCATGATTTGTTTTATCTGTTCAGCTGAATAGAATTCCAATATATATCTATGTAATATATCTATATCTATGTAATATATATGTATATTACATTTTCATTATCCATTCATCAGTTGAAGGACATTTAGGTTGTTCCCATTTCCTGGATATCTCAAATACAGCAGCAATGAACCAGGCTGAGCAAGTAGCTATAGAGTAGGATATCCATGGAGTCCTTCGGGCATGTGCCCAGGACTGGTAAAGCTGGGTCATAGAGTAGATCTTCTTTCAGCTTTTTGAGAATTTTTCCCACACTGATCTCTATCATGGCTGCACCAACAATGAGTGAAGAAGGGTCCCTTCTCCTCACATCCTCATGTAATGGATGGGGGAACTTTCACAAGCCCCTACATAAGATGAAGAGTTGAAGAGTTGCAGGCAATTAAATGGCTTTCTCTAGGGATGACCCCCAGGCAAGTTATCCAGTCCCCAGTGGTCAGCCATAAACACATAAATGAACTCATAAAAGTGTGTGTGTGTGTGTGTGTGTGTGTGTGTGTGTGTGTGTCAGTAGTGAAGAGATCATGGATTTGAGGATGGGGCACATGGGAGGAGACTGAGGGGGATTAGGGAAGGGTGATGAGAATTATATAAGCACAGTACTTATGCATGAAGCTCTAAAAGAAAAGTTAAAAGGAAGAAATAAAGTGCTATCAAGGCAGGCCCTTAGAGCCCTGGAAGCTGTCAGCTCTAGCACTCTGGGCTCCCTCCTGGCTAATTTACAAATAGATGCATTTAAACTAAATACCCTTAAGTGAATTAGCACTAAGTAGTTTGCATATACTGTTAGTTCTCCTGTGGCCTCTAATGTTCACTATTCAAAGTACATGCTCCGAGTCTTATGCTTGTGTTTTTGTTATGCTGAAGGCTATTTTCAAAGGCGGTTTCTTGCTTTTTAGATTCTGTGTGTGGAAAGATAAGGGGATGGTTTGTGTTGGCAGAAGGTGAGGCTTCTAGTCTCCCTGGTCCCAGAAGTGTCATTCCTGTGTACGTGTCCTACTGGAGGGAATTGCCCCAGAGTCAATATTTGCTTAGAAACTCTCCCCACAACCTACGCTTATTTGATCAGATAAGAAAAACATTGACCCCTGAATCTAAACAACTGCCCACCTCTTCCTCCTCTTGCCACTAAGCCTCACTGTTAGGAGACATGAAGAGAGAAAATGCCTCCTCATCGTTTTTGACATTGACATATATATTATAGGGTCAGTAGAAAGTTCCAACTACATAATTCACGTTCATGATTTCATGGGGTGAACATAAATCCTTTAAAGCCTAGAACAAATAAGTTTTGTTCTCTAGAGATGTATGTGAGCCACTAGCTAAATGCACCCTGAGACTTAAAATATTTAGTGTTTTTTTTTTTAAAAAAAAACACTAAGATTATTTATAAGCTGGACTGGGACATTCTCTTTTCTCCATCCTTCGGTATATAGATGTAGATACAAAATGGTACTCTAAAAACTGCTCAGAAAAATAGTATGATATTTATAAGCCCACAGTGAGTGAGTCCATGAGTACACTTAGGAGGGTGGGGGTTGTAGGCAGGTGTCCTCCTTCTGATGGAGAGGGCGGAAGGATGAATGTTACGGTGAGCACAGGGCTCTGCCTAAGACTGGCTGAAGGTCCTCATTGATTGCTGATTTGCCATCATCTCTTTCCTGCCCTTCCTTGCCAATGTGGAGTTCATTCGGTCTAAGAGTACAGCCCACATCTTCCATATTTATCTTTCTCCTTGCTGCCTCCCTAGTTAGTCTAAGTCATCCCATTTCTAAGGTAACAGTCACCTGACTGGCCTTTCGTTCCTACTTGCTGCTGTGACACCTTTATCACCCACAAACAGATTGACAGAACCTGAGAACACATGCATCAAAGGATATAAATTCTTCAGTGGTTCACCATGTCCTCTGACTCAAGTCTAAATTTACTGTGGTCTATACCATACCACTGTGTCCTGCAATGAATGGGTGATTAGCTCAGCCTTAAGTCTCATCTCAACTATGATTATTCAAAGAAGCACCAACCATGTCTTCCTGGCTTGCATGATCTCCCCACAACCCCAAGTAGGTCTGCTGCATTTTTCATAGTTGTTCTTGGGTGACTTTTCATCTTATCTCAGTTAAAAGTTTGTATTGCTGTCTTAGGGCTTTTTATTGCTGTGAAAAGACACCATGACCATGGCAACTCTTATAAGGAAACCATTTAATTGAGGGGGCTCCCTTACAGTTTCGGAGGTTCTGTCAGTTATCATAATGGTGGGGGACATGGAAGCATGCAGACAGATGTGGTACTAGAGGAATAGCTGAGAGTCCTACATCTTGTAGGCAACAGGAAGTTGACTGACTGACACACTGAGGGAAGCTTGAACAAAAGAAACCTCAAAGCTTGCCCCCCACAGTTACATGGACTTATTTAGTGTGTGGATGGGTGGGGGGGTATTGCATGGATGAGGGGATGTGTGTGGGGGGGATTCTTATGCCATGGTGTTCATGTTGAAATCAGGAGACAAATTGCAGGAGCCACACTCCAGTCCTCAGGTGGCAAGAGACTTTATACAGTTAGCCAACTCCCCCACCCCTCACTTCATCTTACATTTATTCTTGTAGCTGTACCTGGATGTTTCCCTGGGTAATATGTATACTTCATGGGGCAACTCTGTCTTGTTTGTGAGCAAAACTCCAATGCCAAGCACATAGTAGACACTCAACACACACTAACTTTTAATCATACAAACAAGCTGTACATACTAAAAAACTATCCGGTGGTCAAGCTTGGATCAGAGTTGCATATATTACATTTTTATTGATTATCTGTGTGAGAATAGGTGTTCCCAGGAATCTGGAGAATGGGAGGAATCTGGTCAGTAGTGAGCAGACTTCTAGAGAAGGAATCCACCGGCTAGAGTATGGCACTTGTATTTACTTATTATTTGAGACTGATTTAGGAGTTGCACCATGCTGGATTAAGTAAAGAAGAGGCTGGAACCAGGGCTTCTTGAGGCAGGTTATTGTAGCAGTGAGGAAAGAGTCATGATATGCTTGGCAAGGAGGTCTACAGGAAAGGGAGAGTTGGACACAGGACTCCAGAGTTTGGAATTTTGTGATGACAATGCACCCAGCAACTGAGCCATAAAACATTGTTTCCTGTGTGATGAGACACCTTATCTTGCCACTCAGAATACCCTGCACACATCATGCATACACACCCACGCACGCATCTGCTTTTGTGTTCGAGTTATAATCCTAGCTACTTGGGAAGTTGAGGTAGTAAGATCCAATGTTGAAGGCTTATACCTTAGTGAGATGCTGTTTCTATTTCTAAAAAAAAAAAAACAATTAAAAGAGTGAATGACCTGTGAACATAGCTCAGTGGTAGAATGTGAAGCCCCCAGCTCAATCCTCCACTAAAAGTATATTAATTTAATGACTCTTCTCAATAAACATGAGTAGAAACCCTTGCCTGTACCCAGAGTTCCTTTGACATCTTCGCCTGTGCTCCAGGGTTCCTTTGACACCCTTGCCTCATCCAGAGTTCCTTTGATACCCTCACCTGTACACCAGAGTTCCTTTGACACCCTTGCCTGTCTACCAGAGTTCCTTTGACACCCTCACCTGTACACCAGAGTTCCTTTGACACCCTTGCCTATACACCAGCGTTCCTTTGTCAAAGCACAATAATGAAAAGATAATGTCAGGATGTGATGGAATGGAGAGAAGAACTGAAATTAAAATTTCCCACTGTCATTAATTGGGTAGATGAGATAATGTACACAACAAAACCCCATTGTGACAGGTAACCTTCCATGGGAGTAGCAAATGGTATTGCTGTGTTTTCATTTTATGAGTGTAGCTTTATTTTTTTTCTGACAAGTTGTTATTTGGAAAAAATTACCATTTTCTTATGATGTGATATATGTTTGTCTTTATTTTTCTTTTAAAGCAATTGAACAAGATGATGAAAACACTGACAAGCACATAGAAGTGATAGAAGCCAGTGATGTTCCCGATCCTCAGGTATGCCACAGTGTTGTACCTTTCTCAGTCGAGGGTGGTTCGATGGGGCAGGTGCTCACAAATGAGGCAGATTTCCTTATGGGTCCTGTTGTTGCTCATTTTCACCGAGCAAACTGTTTAGTTTTGACATAAAGGCACTTCCCAAGAAAGACCCAAATTGTTCCCATAGAACTCCTCCTGTATCCAGTATAGTACTCTCTGTAATTTCACTTACTCACTGTCCAAACATGTGAAATAGAAATGCCCCCCCTAAATAAGCAATCCGTATGTTTTAAATTGTGTGTCACTCTGAGTGAACAATCTAGCTCCATCCTCCCCAGAATGCATTTTTTTCTTTGTTCTAACTCTCAATACTGTGTGCACTTCCTTCCATTAGTCACCAGATAGATGTATGTTTATCAGTTAAACAGCCCTGGTATTGCAGGGCTCCTTCAGTTTGCACTTCCATAATAGCCTGATGTTAAGTCACAATGCCCACATCACTCATCTCTTCTCACGGCTGTTGTGTCATCTCACATTATCACAAAATAAAAGGGTGGCTATGTGACAACATTTTGTAAAAGAAAAAGACCATATACATATAACACTTTCTGTAGTGTATTGGGTTAGTTGCTCTCTCTTGTTACTAGTTACTGTTGTTAACCTGTTACAATGCTTAATGTATAAACACAAGTATATCATGTGTGTAAAAACAGAATTCGGTACTATTTGTAATTTTAGGTATTTACTGGGGAACTTAGGATGTGTCTTTTTTAGATAGTGATTAATAGAGGAAATACACTTCTTTCTCACTTCCTCTCTCCCTCCCTCCCCTCTATATATCTATAGACTAATAGATTCATAGATGATTGATAGATTGATTGATTGATTGATTGATTGTTAGATGATTGATAGACAGATGATAGATGATAGACAGATAAATGGATAATGGATAGACGATAGATAGTAGACAGATGATAGATAGATAGATAGATAGATAGATAGATAGATAGATAGATAGACAGACAGATAGATGATAGATTCCACTTCTCAAAAAAGCAACTCAGTAAATGGAGTTGATACTTATGACTGGCCATCTCTTCAAGCTGGCAGGAGAGAAGGAGCTTGCGTCGTACTATAACAATTGCATCAGCTGCCAGAGGTCCTGGGCTGTTGATCCCTAATAGCTAAATCACAAATGGACAAGATTTTGAATTGGATACCTGAGTGTCATCAACCATTTACTTTATATTAAAATGAAGCATTTGAGGACTCAGTGTAGTTAGTTATGCTACTGACTTTTGCGTTGAAGGTCCAAAATCTGTTGATTGCACTTAGAATAATCATATTAGCTTTTGCCAGTCAAGACTGTACAGGTTGTAATATTTTAATAAATTTATGTTGTTTTATTATAATATGAATGATGCTATAGTTGAGTTTATATTGAAGTTATACATCAGGCTTCAGGTACACAGGAGTTCCCCAACTCAGCCTTCATTGCCTCAAGCTTAGGCAGAAAATGCTCTCACTGGAGAGCATCCCCCGGCCCAGAAAAAGTGGATTTTAGTGTTAAAGTAATGCAGTCATTGTTTTCAGATGTGACTGCTTATTTGTCCTCCCTCTGTGTCCTTTTCTGAAGGATTCCTGCCCATGTTTCATTTTTAGCCTTGGGGGAGTGGACCCACATTTTATGACTCCGTTTATTGAGGAAACAGACTTTTCATTGGCATTTGTAACATTGCTCAGGCTGAAAACCATACGCACAGCTTTAATTATGCATTACAGAGAATTTTTTTCTTCCAAAAGAGACCTTGAAATAGGCTTTTAAATAACTCTTCTGACAGGTACACATTAATCCTTCTCTTTCTCCAGCTTAGCAGCATTAGGTAAACTGTTTGGTAATGAATTTCACATAGATACATTAAATAGACCACACATATGAAAGTCTAGATCAAGGGCTGTAAATTATCTTGCCTCTTTTGTCTATAACAAAGCTCCCAAAGTGTATTAATAAATTCATGGGTTTCTTGAATTAAATTACTAAATTACAGAGCCATGAAAGGGACCCCCTCAGAGAACATCTGGTTTCATGTTGTACTTCCAAGACTACTGTCCTCCGAACCATGGAAGATTTGTGATATCTCTGGGCTGAACGTCCTCCAGGGAAAAAGTGCTCTCCATACAGTTATCTGAGACCTTTCCACCAAGTCATCACTTTATAAGTAGTGCTGTAGAATTCTGTAGTCATTTTATAAATAGAGCTGTAGAATTACCTAATGAAAATACATCAAAAATTAAATGGAAACTGGAATACCAAGGCGGTATTATTACTTTTTCAATTAGAAAACACGAAATAAGTATAAAAGTTAAAATCTGAAATGTACTTTTTAAAGTAATAACATTTGTTACTTAAAATGCAAATATTTGACTTATGCATTGTGATGTCTGGTTCAGATAAAACTGTTTCCTTATACAAGAAAGAAAGGGGGTACAAAAACCCAAGTCTGTATTTATGATCCTTATCATGACATGAAATTTCTTGAAAATTTGGGTTTTTGTAGAAAATAAGAATATAGCCAGTGCCTCTCATCTCCTCCATCGGTTGCTGTTGTTTACAGAGCTGTGCATGGGACTCACGGAGTCTGAATCAGAGCCCTTGCAGGTTCTGTTCATTGAGCTGGACACAGTAGCTCCCAGAACTCCCAGCTGGGACCAGCCCTGCTGGTTTCATGCACACGTTCCCTCTGATACTCAGAAGGCCAAACTGGAAGCAAGAGTGAAGGCTGTATTACTGGGGTGTCTTGTCTGAGGCTTTGTGGTATGTCAGCATCTCCTCTACAACAGGAGACAGTGAATCACTGAGGGTGGTGGCATGGAGCAGAAAGAATTCTCAGGTGTGAGCACAGAAAAATTCTCTAGATACCAGAAATTTGCTGCTTTAAGAATACAATCTTTAGGGGGCTGGAGAGATGGCCCAGTGGCTGAGATCACTCACTGCTCTTCTGAAGGCCCTGAGTTCAGTTCCCAGCACCCACATGGCAGCTCACAACTGCTTGATGCTGTCTTCTGGTGTGCAGATGTACTTACAGACAAAGTACCCGTATATATTAAATACATACATATATACATGAATAAATAAATGAAAGGAATGCCATCTTTATAGAATGCTAATTATTTGCAAGTAGAAATAGCCCCCATACAGTTTCCTTGTCCTCATATCATAAAGGAAGGTACTTAATACCATTTATTCCCTTCTACCCTTTCTTGCATTGATTAAAAACACAACTTCTTGATTGGTCCATGTATTTGGCATTATCTCAGATGATAGGACCCATTAAAATTCTGACAAACAAGGAATATACTCTTAGGAGGAAAGCTAGGGTGGTAAAAAGTATTTAAAAGTAAAAATCAATTGGACCCTCAGTGATACTCTAGATCAACAGTTCTCAGCCTGTGGATCCTGGCCCCTTTGTGGGTTGTTGCATATCAGATATTTACATTAGAATTCATAGCAGTAGCAAAATCACCATTGTGAAGTAGCAAGGGCAATAATCTTATGGTTGGGGGTCACCACAGTATGAGGAACTGTATTAAAGGGTTGTAGCGTTGGGAAGGTTGAGAAACACTGGCCTAAAGCACCTCTGGATTTCCGCTGTCTAGTTTCCTTGTAGGCCAGGAGATGACAACCACAGCCCCTGCCTACTGAAAACAGCCTATTCTATCTGCTTACCCACCACCCCTTGCTGCTCCAGGGTTTCCCCTGCAGAGCCAAGTAGTTGCAACATACAACCTGAGATATTTACCGACTGGCCTGGCACAAAAATTTTGCTAATACTCGCCACTTAGATGTCTGCTATGTGCCTGTTTCTCAAACCACCAGCATCTTCTTCCCAATTCTTACTCTTAGTCAGTAGCTTCTGGGAAAAAGATGCCTTCAGTAAAGAATCTTCACCAGTTGCCCCCATCAGACTCTGCCAGCCTACCTGCATGTTGCCTCCTGTCCCAGTGGTTGGAACGCTGATATTTACATTTCTGTCTAAGGGGGTAGATCCTTATCTTCTTTTCAAACTCAAGGGTATTAATCTTGAAAATGTGCTCACTCACATTCTCTGTCACTCCCACTCTTCCCCCCGCCCTTCCTCTCCCTCTCTTGTATGGTCAAATTTCCCTGTGTAGTACATGATTTCTAACATAGATAAATATTCGGAAGTACCCCCTCATCTCAACTCCACCGAGCCAGCAGAACTCTCGTTCTCATCATTCTTCAGCTGGGACCAGTCTGTCCCAGTATCCTTGGGGTTCTCTGTTGGCTGTGAGTTAGTGAAATTGTCCGCCTAACCCACCTCAAGAGGAGATTCCTCTCCTCAAAATTCCTTTATCAAATTGATAGTTATTTGGAAACATCAGATACAGTGTAAGGGTAGACCCCACACACACACACACATCCAGAAGCATACTGGTAGACCCCACACACACATACTCATCAGCATACTGGTAGACCCCCCCACACACATACTCATCAGCATACTGGTAGAGCCCCCTACACACACACACACACACACACACACACACACACACACACACACACTAACTAAAAGATAAATAAAATAAATCCCCCCAGATTTCCCCTGAAGCTGCTCCCTCTTCCTATCTCCTTTCCTATTCTTTGCACCCTCCCACTGAAACATTGCAGTCAGCTCTTTGATTTATCTCACTGCATTCAAATAACCAAAGCAAGACTGTCTATGCTCTGGATGGACCCAGCATCCTGCCCCTGCCCACACCTTTGCTTCTGAACCTAGAGACTGCCAAGCCTCATCCTCCTGGGACTTTGAGTAGACAACTTTCTTCCATACTACCCCAATAATGACAGTTATTGGGGAAACTCCCAAACAACATCTGCTGACACTGCTTTGAAAACGCATCTAGATGCCCCTCGTGTCTTCCACTGCCTCGAGTGGGTGACACATCCCGGGTGAACACATGTCTTGTTCATGCTCTTCTAGTTCCAGCTACTTCATCCTTCCCGCTAAGACACGGTGAGCCTCTATGCTGTAAATTTGTTTTGTGATCATTTTCTGCTGAAGCCATTCTAAAAAAATTCATCTTGTTCAGAACAAGAATCCCAACTCTTGTTTCCATAAGAAAAACACTCTCATGTATTTTAATAATAATATTTATTGTCTTACAGATCCATTTAATACCAAATTTAAGTACAACATATTTTATAGCATACCTGGTAAGATATCATTAGCTCGTATCTTCACAAAGAAACATAATTTTAAGAAGTAACATAGTTCATCTTTATGAGGACTGATTATTATAATTCTCACTATTAAACTAAAATTTATATTCTGTAAATTCTGTGTATTTGTTTTTTTTTTAATTAAATGCAATATTGTCCTGCTGATGTAAGATGCCATCTATTCAGTGCCCAACCTGACTCCTTTAAAAAGCAGAGAGCCTGATTCTTCATTTCATTACTATGTGGATCTTTATATTTAAGTTACTTCATTTTAAAATTTGAATTGAATGTATCAATCTTTGGCAACACAAAGTATATGGAGTAGGTATGGCTAATACTAGGCAAAACTCTACCAATAAAGTAAATCTCTAGGACAACATGAACTTTTTTTTTTCCAAGACAGGGTTTCTCTGTGTAGCTTTATAGACCAGGCTGGCCTCAAACTCAGAAGTCCACCTGCCTCTGCCTCCCCCTGCCCGGCCATGAAATTATTTTTTAACACATACACACTAGATGCATACCATGTGGTATTTCAGTGTACTTATACACGCTATAAGTTGAAATCAGGATAAGCACACTTATTTAAACATTTGTTATTTATTTATGACAGAGACTTTAAAAATACATTATCTTTGCTTTGGGAAACATTTATCGATTAGTGTCATGTCTGAGACTAGGGTGACTGTTGAGACTGTAAGTGTTTAGAATTCCTTGTTTCCTTGCTGTCCTGCATCCTTTGGTTCCTATACAGTCTTTCTGCCTTCCCTTCTAGCATTCTGCAACCTCTGAGGGGAGGGATTTGATGCAGACACCCCGTTTAGGACAATAAACTCCTAATATAGCCCTGAAGGAAACTAGGTGGTTGGATCCTGCACATCTCTGGCCATCTCACCAAGCAGCCCCTGACGAGTTCTGTCCTCCTGGGATGATATTCTGTGTTGGTCCTACGGCATGCCAAGCACACCAAACTCAGAGTTCTTGTTCTTCTGCTTAAAACACACTTGTTGGGGAATTGACATGTCTTTTCCTTGGTTCTTTTCGGTCTCTGTTCAAATGCCATTTTATTGGAAAATCTCCTGCTTCTCTGGTGACCTCTAGTAATTGCCCGGACCTCTCCTGCTTTATTTTTGTTTCCTGTCATAAACCACCTAGTTTTTCTATTTCTGTTTTTTTTTTTAAAACGTTATAGAATCTTCTTCCTCCGATGAATGTAAGCTCCAGGAACAGGAGGGCCTCTGAGGAATTTATTCTATAGCTTTAGGATTTATGTGGGTGGTTATTAGGTAAAGTCTATTGAATGGATGTATAAGATATAATAGACAGCTGGAGTTGGTGGCATACGCCTTTAATCCCAGCACTCAGGAAGCAGAGGCAGATGGATCTCTGTGAGTTCGAGACCAACCTGGTCTATAAGAGCTAGTTCCAGTATAGCCTCCAAAGCTACACAGAGAAACCCTGTCTCAAAAAACCAAATAAATAAATAAACAGACAACTAGAGATATGGGTCTGGATAATAGTAAATGATGTTGCAAAGAGTATGTTTAATGCTAGAAAGGTTGTGTTATTGGATAAGGGATAGCCCTTGTTCCAGCTGATACCAAATAACTTCAAGAGTTATCGGGTGTTTGGGGGGGGGTGGGGGAGTAGGACGGGGCTTTCCAGCAGCTGGCTGTCCACCATGTACAGGATGTCTTAAGATAAACTGAGGTCCTTGTCCAAGGAAATGTAGGAAAAAAACTAAAAACACCATTTGTGAGGAATGTTATAAATGTAAACCTCAAGCTTTAGTGGGAGAATTCTGCTTGCTGCCCTCTAGGGGTCTGTGATGGTTAGTTGGGACATTTTCTTTTCTTCTGAGCCCTTGGGAATAAAGTTGCAGCTGTTGCTGTGCATGTCTGGTTTTATTCTGTGATGCCATTTGAGAGCAAGGTGCCTTTCACACCAGCTGTTAAGTCCATGAAGCTCGCCTGTTGGTGGGGGCACAGACCTTTAGTCACAGCACTTGAGAGGCAGATGCAGGAGGATCTCTGTGAGTTTGAGGCCAGCCCAGTCTATAGAGTGAGTTCCAGGACAGCCAGCTGTTACATAGAGAGACTCTGTCTTGGGTGTATGTATGATAGAGGGGAAGGACCATGAAGCTTGAGTACTCTGGAAAACCCTGTCCCCGTATTTGGTCACATTACTGAATATGTTCAAATCTTGTAGGTTATATTGGGTAAATAAAGATTCAGTGGTTTTGACTAATCCTGCCAAGTTAACTTCAGTATTATTATTATTATTATTATTATTATTATTATTATTATTAGATCATGCCTTGGTATGTTTGTGAACCATTTAGGAAAGAATTTGAATAGAAATAGTTTATAATCTCTGTGTTAGAATGACCTTTTTTCCCCCCTATTCTAAACTCTTAGATTTACCTCCTTCCTATTATTCCTACTTACATACAGCCTTCAATATATAAAGAAATATATTATGCTTAGTGGGCTGTTTCTAAATGTCCATGACTGCTCTTACTCAGGTCCTTATAGTAATTTTCCAGTTGTGGGGAAAAATAAGTTTATCCCATAATCTTGCTGTGTTTGTCCATGGAATGATCCACTCGAGCTAAAGAATTGGGAAGTTGTAGACGTTATTTTTAGGACGCTGTATCACTTCGCCCTTTTTTGCCAGAGTGGTTCCTGGCTAACTTTCCCATGAATTTTTAACCTTTTGCTGGGCTTTGCTTATGTAACAGGAAACAGGCTGTCAGGAACAAACAAATACCAGCCTATCAGGCGCACACATACTAGCAAATGATTTAGTTTGCTCTTCCAGCTCTTAAAGTAGACTGATACATGTTCTCAATCTGAAGTCTCTATGGTATCTCTACATTAAGACAACACAGATTTAACTTTGGAAAGGCGAAATCTTTTACAAAGGCCATGATTTAATTCAGGCCACAGGGAAAATGTGTTTCCTATAAGGTGAACTTTGTGTTGGTGTCATGTCCTGGGACTGTGGATTTAAGTATATCTTCGCTTTTTCTCCAACTCTTAAGGCTGGGGTGATGTGCAAGCTTCAAGAGAGAGATGATATTGGCCGAATCGAGCTGGTCCAGAAGCTAGCAAGAGATAATTGTCCGTTTTTACAAATAGATAAAAAGGAGCCGGAGAAGTCTGAACAGGTAAGCCCCCTTTCCTTTTGGGGATGTGGATCAGAACGGGTGGGAAAATGCTTGTATATAGAGGGCTAGAGTCTTTTATTTGGAATTGTTTAGGATTTTACCTCTGCAAGCAGCCTTCTCAGTAAACATGGTAGGTGCTCTGAACTCTTAAGCTAGTGATTTGGGGACTGAGTTTGTAAGAGACCTCTTCTCAGACGGAAGCCATATAGAAATGTAGATAACCAGGAGTTTGCATGTCTGTCATGATTCTGAGTTGATGGCTTCCAGGTACTACACTGTAAATTTTGTTCCATCCAATAGTACAGAGAGCGTAGTAGATATTTGAGACTATTCCAATGCACTTCTATGTTTACCTTGGTTGTGGGTCTCACTTGCAAAGAAACGTATGTATCCTGAGTCACTAGAAAGAGATAAAGGGCAGAAAAACAGAGGGCGGGGTCAGATGGAGGCTTCCCAGTAGCTTCTCAGTGCCGTGTTCCAACAAGAGTGACATTGTGTGGATACAGTGAAAGCTGGGGGGAAAGGACGAGCTGCTTGGTCCCCTGAAAGCAGTTATTCAGCCAGAGCCGGGAGAGTTGAGAATGCTGCCCTCAGGCCAGGGAGACAATGTAGCCACTTTGTCTTGCCACATATTGTGATCCACTGATTGTTATTTGTTAAGACTTCACTCTTACTACCCCGGACTGCTCACAAAGGAGAACAGCTCCCTCTCTTTCTCCAGCTGTAATTTTTGTTTCACATTTTATTTTTCAAACCCTTCCAGGGGAGAAGCTGCTACATGGCTTTTTCAAGCCCTAAGTCTGTTGATACAAATGACAGGGTTTTACTGAGTGAGGGATGGGCCAGGACCTTCAGGGCTAGCTGTTCAGCTTAGGAACATGGGATATTTTCAACCGTTAGACTTAGCATTGTGACAGTTGTTGTCTCAAGTGGAGGGAATGATGATAATTTCAGAGCCTTGAGACTGAACTGTTGCAGGGCTAGCTGTTGGCTTCAAAGTGTACTTGGGAGATTCAGACACCTATCCTTTACTGAGTATTGTAGAAAAGTTTTAAGTGCTGGTGTAAGGTGTTAAAAGCATCCTAGGGTCTGCCTGTGTCACAGCCTAATTCTTACCCCATCATATCCTTAGGATATTTTGTATGTCTTAATGTGAAGCTTCAGCTTCTCAAGGTGCTATTCCTTTGGATTCATTTTAATTAGGAGACCCATAGCTTTCATTTGCTTTTTTGTTTCAAAATGCACTGTTGATGGTGTGAAATCATGCCATAGTTTTAATTAGGGGTATTCTTTCCTAGTTGTCCTTTAAATGAATGCTGTATCTTTTGGGTGATTGCAAATGAGATGCACTGAACCAGTGACAACTTGGGATAGGGCAGAGTCGTTCAAAGCCAAATGGTAGAGCCTCACTCCACAAGAGCTACATGTAGGCATCATCGGTGAAGAACTTTTTGCTGTTCATGAGACACCCGGTGTTGCCTTTGTGTTGTAATTATTTTAATCCAGAGTATTACAGTTGTGGCTAGTGAGATTATAATTCCCTCCAAACTGCAGAAATCTGAAGGTGGTGCTCGTCATTCCTAAGGGTTTTTAAGGAGCCAGGAATTCAAGTGTGAAGATTTGCAGCATGGTTTATGATTATCTTTTCTTACCTTTAAACCCGTTAAAGTCTCTAAGAGTTTTTACAGTTTTCACAGTAATGTTTTCAGTTCTTGCATGAATGTTACATGAGAGATACATTCACATCTCTGAAATGTTTACATCTAAGAGGAAAGATGTGTAAACAAACATTGGAATTATGGCTTTTCCCAGTGGACTTTCCCCTGGAGGTTAAAGAAAGGAAAGGTGACTATCAAGGACCTTCCTGTCTCACTGGCAAATGTAAAATCAGCTGAGGTGTGATCTTCTTCTGCAGGGTGGCACCGACTGAGTCAGGCGCACCCAGAGAGAAAACCAATGTGCTGTTCCATAAAGGAATGGCTGCAGATTAGGCACCTGCATGCTCTTACAGTCGTTATCTTAAGAATCCAAGCCTTCTGACCTGATTTCAACCGTTCATATCTTGAGAATCTGTTGTAACAATACTTTTTGCTAAGTTCGGTGTTCATGAGCTTCAGTGCCTTTGCAATCTCAGGTCCTGGCTCTTCCTCACACAAACTCGATGGACTCGAACAGCTTGGGCAGAGGAAACTGCAACTCACCAATGTAAACCCAAGTCTACTTCTTCCTCCAATTTCTACAGTAATGACCCAGCCCTACAATTGTGTACAGATTTCCTTTCTTTCATCGTTTTATAATCGTTTATATACCTCATCTAGCATTCCTGGCTGAAGCTACATAAAAAGTGGTTACATTTACTTTAGAATCCCAATGTCCGTTGGGCTATTCCTTTTTACTCAGCCCTATTCTCCAATTGCAGAACTCTACATTCTGTTCCTTTCATTATGCATGTGCCCAAACAGGGAAGTAACCTTGAAGGAAAACTACTGGGCATGGTGTAAAGTTAGTAAGACAAAGCCCTTGTGGCTCTTGTTGTCCTATTACAAATTCAAGGGATTAGAACCTTCTGATCGGGCATTTCTAGTATTTTCTTAAATTGGCAAATGCTATGATTATAAATTCATGCAATCATTGAAATGTTTCACTATGTGCTTATGCCAAGGTGTTTCAGGAGGGAAAATTAGAAATGTAATTATCATGTTTCTCTGGAGTCACTCAGCATATCTATTTTCTGTTAACTAGCTGTAGGCAAAATTGAGCATCACGAATTTCTAAGTGCTGATAATTAATATGTGAAAACTTACACAAGAGGGCAAAAATGGGACTGTGTCTTCTAAACATTATGATGGGAGAATTAACATCCCATCGTTAATTCTTTGAAGAAATTAGCCTCTTATGTGGGCATAGAAATTATAAGTCTTTATTCTGTGGTGTACCAGTTGAGGAAAGAAACAAGCAGGAATTCTGCACTTGACCTTGGAGGATGACTGATGATGACCTCTGCCTTTTAGGCAGAGTACCAGCCGTTGGTGATTCATGGGGAATGGAAAAAGGTGGGCTGGAAGGCTAAAATGCAGTTGTGAAAGACCTAGTAAGCCACCCTGGTGAGTTTAGACTTGTCTTTCTGGCAAAGGAGAGCCACCAAATAAGACAAGTAAGGTGGCTAGATGTGGGCTTTGTCAGATCTCTCTGGCTTCAGTTCAGAGAAATAATTGGGTGAGGAAGAGGGAAATGTTGGCAAGAATCTTACAAAGCTATTGTAGTCAGTCCGATGAGAGGTGTTAGCCTGTGGGAACTGAGAAGGCGGTAGACGTTAAGAGCTGTGTAGGCATGAAATGGCAGAGCCTTATGACAGATAATCAGGAAGGCATGCTGTATTTTATATTGAATAACTTTTTAATGCTGATTAATGCTTCTTGAATACAGAGTAGAAATAAGTGTGTTGTGGTTATTTTTTATAGTTTATTTTTATCTTTAGAGACAGAAACCTCACTGTGTGGTTCAGAGTGGCTTTGGATTCATGGTCCTCCAGTCTTACTTCTCTGAACGCTTGGGTTGTAGTTCTGTAACAACATGCCTGGCTAGGAGCTGCTCTGTCTGTCACCAGAACAGTGGTTCCCTTGGGGACTTTATCCCAAATCCACATGAACCATTGGCCTTGCTTTGTTTCCCTGAGCTGTTCAGAAATGGTCTGGGCTGTCAATGTATTTCTGGGTTATGAGTTGCTAGTTGGCTAATGGTGTGGAGACCGCATAAACATTTTCCCCCCAAAACAATCCCCTTGAAAGAGCATCTCTACCTATCCCCACTCTTTTGACCACACTTAGCTGTTTGCTGCAGTGCAGTCTACTTTGTTCAGAAAAGGTCTCTATTAACGTTAGGCTTCTTCTTTTGACCTATGTCTTCCAGGTGGGTCACTTTGACAGATACTGTTATTCTAGAATGTTCTCTTCCTATCCATTCAGGCATTAAACTTTTACTTAAGTTGCTTTCAGAGAGAATTGAGAATAACTGTGCTAGCTACCCTTCCTCAAGAAGTTAATCTAGTTGTGAAGAAAAGACACTGTGATGATTGACAGCTCTGCAGGAAGAGCACCTCTGCATTGAGAACACACAGAGAGATAAACATGGGTGGGGGTTATTTATAGCTGGGGATACTGGATTCTGTCTATAGCAGAGGTATGATTTGATATGGTTTTTAAGGTAAGTTTGGGTCAGATCTAAACAATTCTAATTGAAGACTATTCCAGTTTGACGGATTAGAAAGCTGAGGGTGATGGTGGTTAGGTTATCGATAGGCTGGGCGAACTCCAGTGTGGTGGCCTTGGGAGTACATCTTCCCTCAGTACTTGTCACTGGAGTAAGGACTCAGAGGAGCTAGGACACTCAGGTGACAGGAATCATGGTGTCTCTGAGGAAGAAGAAATGAATGAGACAGGCAGCCTTGGAGGAAGGGGACAGAATGATGGCAAGGTACCACAGGGAGGTGGAGGCGGGAAAAGGGGAGGCGGGGTACTCATTTCTCGGCACGTTTTGCATCAATAAAACTGATATTGAAGTCTCTGTGTAGACGTGAGTGATATTTTCTGGAATGAGCTGTAGAATTAACCAGGAGACTGAAACTGTTTCTTTTGAAATGTAGCTCATGTTTTATGTACAGGAGATACACCAGCTGTAGCTCCCCAACAGACTCCCCCAGTTTCCACTTGTAGACATTGTATATAAGCAGTTGTTCAGCAGGACTTTCCTGAGGGGCTTCGTCTCCACCCTGCCTCTTCCCACCCAGTTTTCTTCAGTTCCTTTGTTAAGTCTGAGGACCCACCCTTACTTCCTTCCCCTTCTCTAATTCACTCATGATATACGGGTGGAAAGGGGACTTGGCACATTCTGAAACTGAATCTTGGCATGGTCTGCTGCCTACCCCAGGGAAAGCTCCCTATCGCTCCCCCTGGACCGGAATTTCCTTTTCCCTGTTTCCTGCAGCCTCATCCTGGAATTCT